GCATCTATGTTCATCAAGGATATTGGCCTGTAGTTTTCTACACCAAGGCCACGGGTTCGGATCCTATATAGGGATGGCCGGTTTGCTCACTGGCTGAGCGTGGTGCTGACAACACCAAGCCAAGGGTTGAGATCCCCTTACCGGTCATCTTTTAAAAAAAAAAAAAAAACCCAGAGAAAAAAAAGATCTGAGGCCTTTTATCTATGGGAAATTCAGTCAAATGGAACAGAGCAAAGCTTCACATCTCCAAGTATCCTCACATTCTATGTGGCTTGGAAAGGAACTCCCCAGTTCTTCACCAACATGTGCATCTGGAGAGCACAGGGGTCGGCTCCCTCATGATCTACCCTCACTGCTCTTGTATTATCTAGGGGCCCACCTGGTCCCAGGAAAAGCGTGGCTGCTCTCTGTGAACGTGGGGTGAAACCCCATGGGCTGGGGAGCAAATCACACCTTGGATTATTCCAGCAGCCATCTCTTCGATACTAATAAGAATGACTGAATTGTCTTATGGACTCACTTTGTCCCTTACAGAGAATCAAAAGAAGAACATAAGTAGCCTCCACAATAGCAACTTCAACATGCTAGGGAAGTGCTCAGTATTTCCCCTAATATCACAGCACTTCACCCAATAATTGATACATACCCTCTTGCAAACATTTATATTTTAGCCTGGACTGCTTCATAAGTTTTCAAAAGCTTATTGCTCACTGGGTAAAAAAGAATTATATTTTATTTGTTCTCACTCTTTCAAGGGTTTCCCTATGTTTTTGTATAACATTCTAAGACTTCATAAGTTTTGTGCCTTCTGATAATACTACCATAATAAGTACTCATTGAATGTGTTAAATTCAGTTGTATAGATCTGATTGTATTTCCTCTCAGCCTTTATCTTGATGAACAGAACAATTCTACTTTACCATGAAAAGGACTGAGTTCAAATTACATTGCAAATATCAACTTGCTTCCTTTCCTTAGTCTACCCACTGGAATAAGGAGGTATTGATGAGGACCCAGTAAAGAAAGGGACTTGCCCAAGGACAGGATCAATCAGCAGCAATAGCTGACAAAACCTGACTAGATGCAGGAGTTAGTCTCTCTCCACAAACCACTGACCTGTCCAGCTCTGGCCTGCTGGGGGAGCTGGGCTCTTCCATGTGTTTTCTTTTCCTCGTCATAGCTCCTGCTCCTTTCTTCTCAGCTAGGACCTTCAGAGAAGAACCAGACTCTGTGACTCCTCCTTTTCCAGAGTTGTTCACGATTCATGAGGGCACAGTAAAGAGAACTCCCCATCTTTAAACTGCCAAAGGCAAACTTTTAACACAGTAAGGACAGATACTCTGTTAGAGATAGAGTCTCTCATGTTTACAATTCTGATTGGGTTGGGCAGCAACTAAGGGGCCAAGTAAGAGGAAGAGACAAGAGCAGCACTTTTTGGACGACAGGAGACTATAAATGTAATTTTCATTTTGCATAGAAAAGGCAAACTTACCAACCCAAGAGGACTGTCGTTTATTGGTTTCCCTATGAAAAGAGCAGCACTTTTTGGACGACAGGAGACTATAAATGTAATTTTCATTTTGCATAGAAAAGGCGAACTTACCAACCCAAGAGGACTGTCGTTTATTGGTTTCCCTATGAAAAGAAATTTGAATGTCATAATCGATTAAGACTGTTTTACTGAGATTTCTGGCTACTATTTATTTCTTGGAACTGGCCTAACCTCCCTGTGAGTCCCTCTCTCTTCTGCCTGGTACCATTTTCCCTAGAAATAGTGTCTTCAAACTCTCTTCCTCCCCTGTTTCAGAACGATTGTAATTTACAAGCTGAAAAGGGTTTGATTTACACTATACTCTGATATGACACTTAAAAGAAGATGATCCTTATTACAAAAGAAGAAAAGTGGAACTTCAGGCATCAGTGACAAATGAATTGGAGAAATATTTTGAGGCAAAGCCTCTACACCCTTTTTCCAATCAAACTGGCGGGTGTTTACTTGTCCCTCAGTGAGTAAAAACAGCAATGGCCCTCAAAGATTAAAAATTGGGAGACACCTTTAAGACACGACAAGGTGAAAGTAACTGAATACTCTAAAATGGAAGGAAGTGTTTATATAATAGTTATCTTTCACTGAGTGATTACTCTAAGTCAGACTTTGTGCTTTCCACCTACCACTACTTATGTATTTAATCCTTTTAATAATTCAATGAGATAGGTACTAGTATTATTCTTCACCACTTCACAAAGGAAGCACGGAAAGATTAAGTAATTTACCTGAGGTCACACAGCTATTATGGCAAAGCCACCAGGATTTGAACTGGGCAGTCTGGCTTGGAGCACATGCTCCTGACCTCTGCACTGTGCAGCTGGAGCCCAATCTGGCAGACCATTTTGCCATATTCAGCTTGCACTACTAACCTGTTTTCTTCTCTACCACCCATACTCCTATCATTCTACTTACCAGGTGACATGTTTTCATGAAACCATTTCATCTCCATGTATAGAGTAAAAACAAACGGATATGGGATCAAGACAATTTCCCCACGTTTGAATTTCAGGTGGGAAACTCTCTCCCATTTGCTTTTATCTGGGAAACAATGTTAAGGATTAAGGAAAGATGCCAGTACACATCCCTGAGTATTATTTTAGGGACAAGATTCCCTCTCCTTTCCCTGACCTACCCTCCAAACTGCCTGTGGTTTTGCTGCTTTCATTTGAATTCACAATGTGAGTTGTAGCTCATTTCCAGCCATGAAAGAAAGGATACAGGGAAATACAATGAAGTGTTCTGTAGCAAAGGGCTGCAAATTGTCCAAGTTTCCCAAGACGACACGGATAGAATCCTGAAAAAAAATATTTGAAATGACTTAAGTATTGTCAAGTCTCAGCCAATCTTTCCATTTATATTTGTCACTGCTCTTCACATACCCTATATTCTGTCAAAGCTGAACTGTTTGCTGTTCCCTGAACAGGCCTTCTGCTTCCCCATTTCTATGCTTTTGCATAGTCTGTTCCCTCTGGCTGAAATGCCCTTTCTACCCATCAGTATATGTTCAAATCCAACCTAACCTTTAAGGTACAGTTCAAAAGCCACCTCCTCTAGAAAGCTTTCTCTGATACCCCAAGTTGTAGTTAACCGTTAGTCTTAAACTTCACGGTAGTTAGCCTGGGGCTACTATCCATATACATAATGTTTTATTTTCCTTACTGAGTGATCTTGAAGTAGAATATACACCTGATTCATCTTAGCATCCCTTCTTCAGTGTCTACTATAGTGAATGATGCATAACAGGTCCTTCAATAAAGGTATACTGAATGAATACATAATACTGGTACTTATTGATATATAGTTATTCTGCTTTTAAGTCAAACCTTTTCTTCTACTCTCTTTAAATCTTAATTGATTAGTTCCCAATTAACCTATGCTTATTATTCTATACTCATTAAAGAATTTGGTATCATAAAAAGACTACTGGATTTCTATGGGGGAGAAAAATCTGAATTTCAGTCCCAGTTTTGTCATTTCACCTCTCAAAATCTCATTTTCCTCATGTTTGGGCTCATAGAAGGCAGAAACTGTGTCTTGTTTATCTTTGTATTCTCCATACTAGTATAGTTTCTAGCTCGTAATTATAATAGCCAATACTTATTGACTAGTTACTATGGCAAGTATTGTTTTTATACATATTAATTAATCCAATACTGAAAAACCCTATGAGATAGGTACTTCTATTATCCCCATTTTACAGATGAGGAAACTGAGACAAAGAGAGGTGAAAAAACCCATTCAAGATTACACAGCTAGGGCCGGCCCGTGGCTCACTCGGGAGAGTGCGGTGCTGATAACACCAAGGCCCCGGGTTCGGATCCCACATAGGGATGGCCGGTTTGCTCACTGGCTGAGCGTGGTGCTGACAACACCAAGTCAAGGGTTAAGATCCCCTTACCGGTCATCTTTAAAAAAAAAAAAAAAAAAAAAAAAGATTACACAGCTAGACATGGTGAAGGCAAGACCTGAACCCAGGCCTTGGGGTTCTAGAGCCCACACTCTTAAACATTAGGCTAGACTTCATCTCAATAAACGTTTTCTAAATGAGTGAAAGAGAATAACATCTCCCCCAAAACTAGTGGGTAAGAGAAAAAGAATATATAAAAAGCACTTTAAAAACTTTAATATGACATATAACTGTACATAAATGTTCTCTAGCTACCATTTATTGAGC